TATCTTGCTGATATGCCTATCTTCTAACTTTATCTTCCCTAAAATACATACTTTATCTTCCCTAAAACACATATATGCTTTCTATCAACAAATAAAGATCTGAATAGCATAGTTAATATTTCTTATGGTTTGCATACGAGGTGTCTCGCATAAATCACTGCAGAAATGTTCAGATTTGAAATGCTTAGATAATGAGAGTAGTAACCTAATCAGACCATTCTAATTTGAATGGATTAAAAGGATGGTTAGCATATAAGTGGGTGGAGTGTGGTTGGAAGAGGTAGGTGACTGGAGGCATGACTTTGGAGTTTATATTTTGTCCTCAGTGCCTGGATGCATCTCCCCACCCCCATCTTTCTCTCTCTCTCCCCTCTCTCTCTTGTCTCTCTCTGCCTCTGCTTCCTAGTATCCATGAAGTCAGCAGCTTTTCCTCACCACACATTTCTGTCATGATGCTGCATCTCATCTCAGGCCAGAGCAGTAGAGTGAGCCAACTATGGTTTAAACTTACAAAACTGTGATCCAAAGTAAATAGTCCATCCACTAACTGTTCTTGTTAGTTATTTTGGTCAGAGCAATCAAAAGCTGCCTAACACAGTATTCTTGAGGTCTCTTCTCATTCTATTTTGTACTTTTTAGCATGTTCCCAAGAAGTAGGATTATACTTTGTCAGCAATTTGTTTCAGGTTGTACAAAAGACAAGATGGACAATATAAAGTCCAAAATAGCATAAGACTGTCATTTCTTTATTGTTATTGCTGTCATTGTACATTTTTCTGTTATTTAATATTGAGGAAAAAATTCTAAAATAAGCCTAGTTAAAATTACTCAGCTTTTGTTTAGGGTGCTCTCATCAGTACCATGCTCTCCAGAGACACTTTAATTCTGATCTCCAACAAGAATCCCCTGTGTCTGTTTAGAGGAGGAGAAATTAAAAAAAAAAAAAGAAACAAATAAAACTAGTTAGTTTATTTAAAAAGAATATTTATAAAACCAAGCTTTCCAACTGAAAGGTAAAAAAGTAATAAAAAAATTACAACCTATCTTTTATTAAACAGTGCTTCCTGAAAGCCAAGTAAAATGTATTTCAGGTTTCCTAGCATCTAAGATCAGGAACTTGTTCTTTTTATATAGAAATTCTGGGAAACAAGATACTAAATGCCTTATCTTGGATCATACAACTCGATATGGTTCTTTAATATTAATCATCTCAACAATATTCATCATCTCTTTTTCATAGCTATTGATCCTTGATTCTTATTCATAGCATGATCCCTCTCCTGATTAGGAACTCTTTCACTTAATTCACAAGCAAATATGACATCTTTATCACCTCTATTTTCCTATTTCTTTGTAAGTATTGGCCCCCAAAATAAAAAAATCCCCCGAATCCACTTTATTTTGTTCCCTTTGTTTAATGATTTCGCTCTTTCTTACTCCCTCTCTCAGTCCATCCCTCATTCCCTCTTGCTTTTTCTTTTCTCTCTCTTTCCTTCCTTCCTTCCTTCCTTCCTTCCTTCCTTCCTTCCTTCCTTCCTTCCTTCCTTCCTTCTTTCCTTTTTTTCTCAGAAGTTTCTCCAAATTCAAAGAACACGTGATCTCTGGCTGTGAAATCCTGCCCTGTAACCAACTCTAAACTGTTCATTTTTCTACTGCCATCTCCAATTTCAAGCTCATAGTTCTACTCTTAAATAATGAAGTAACAGAGACACTTTTACTCAATGACCATTTTGCAATGCTACCTGTGTTCCAGACTTTCAGACTTAACATGAATTGGATACTTCGGACTACCCTTGGGGCTTCTGCCTAGTAAACAAGATTTCTAATCAGGTCCCAAACTCTTTCCCAGAACATAAAGAGCAGAACTTCTTGGATACTTGGTCTAGGTCTCATTGTAGTATCTTCTCTCACTACTTGAGGCCATATCCTCATCCTATCGGGGCCTCTCTGATGTTAGCAATAGATTTTCTAATGGAATCATTCCGAAAGCATGTTCCCTGTATATAACAAAGACCATCAGCCCCAATTCCATCAATATGCTATATGTTTATCATTATGCAAAAAAAATAGATATAGGAAGGTTGAGAAGTATATGAAAAACTCTGAAAGTAAAGCATCAAACATTATGACTTAAATAAAAGCAACTTAGCATTTGGGTTTCAGCAGTTCAACAGCATTCACATGACTATAAATACATTTTTTAATTTTTCATTTCCTTTTCTCTCCTTTCTAATAATTGTATAATATATACTTAACTTTGGCCCTCAGAAACTCATCTTTGCAGTAATAAATTATTTTTCAATTCATAAAGTAAAAACTTTAATACTTTGGAAAATTCTGAGTTTGTTTCTTTAGCATTATATAAGGAGTATTTTCATGGTCCTGGCTTATTTGTAAAATTATTAAAATTTTTAATATTTTGGAAAATTTTGAGTTTGTTTTTTTCAAATTATATAAGTAATATTTTCATGGTCCTGGTTTATTTGTAAAGTTAATAATCCTATATACTGTTAAGAGGGACACTGAGTATCATGGAAAATTAAGAAACATACTTCAAATGTTCCATGTTCAGAAATTCAGAATATGTGCTCATTGGAATAGTATTTTAACAACAAAAGTGTATTTTATGTTTTAAAATTTTCTATAATTTTTTGCACACATAGGTTCAGATATTTAAAGGAAAATAGGGCATATTCACAAAGTAAAATTTTCATATTCAGACACTCTTATTAAACCAATCAACAGATTAACTTTATATTAAATGGCTGGGGATGTACAAAGCAGGTAACAAACATAGATTATTTTATTGTGGTTAATGTATATTTTTTAAAATTAGTATATCTTAATGATTAATTTATTGTTTTTTTTACATGCCTTTTATGTTTCCTAATTCAAGAGATGTGATGTAAAGGTAGTCCTAACCACCTTAACAGTAAGAATTGTTTCTTATTTGCATTTTTAGACTTGGAAGAAGTGAAAAATAAAAAATGCAAGATCAAACATCTGCAAATGAGCTCATTCTTCTGGAATTAACAGAAGACCCAAAGCTGAATATTTTCATTTTTCTATTTCTATTTTTCATCTACATACTGAGCATTACTGGAAACTTATCACCCTCACTCTGATAGAGTTGCCCCTAAAAACACCCATATATTTCTTCCTTAGGAATTTCTATTTCCTAGAAATCTCATTCATAACAGTTTCTATTCTTAGATACCTTGCCAGCATCATAACAGGAGATATTGTTTGGTGCAATAGAATTTTTCCTTTTGACTGCCATGTCCTATGACCATTATGTGGCTATCTGCAAGCCTCTGCACTACACAACAAAAATGAACATCAGCATCTGCACCCTGCTTGTCCTTGGTTCTTGGCTGGCTGGCTTTCTCATCATCTTTCCACCTGTGATCATGGGACTACAACTGGATTTCTATGACTCCCACATCATTGACCACTTCATCTGTGACTCCTCTCCTATGCACAGACACATCCTTCTAGCACAGACACATCCTTCCTAGAGCTCTTGGTGTTTATCCTGGCCATATTAACTCTCATTTCAATGTTAACATTAATGATAGTTCACTATGTGTACACCATTAAGACAACTTTGAGGATCCCCTCTGCTGAGCAAAGGAAAAAGGCCTTTTCCACTTGTTCCTCACACATGATTTTTGTCTCCATTTTTTATGGAACCTGTATTTTTATATATGTCAAAACTTCAGCCAAAGAAGGAAAAGCATTGGCCAAGGGCATAGCTGTGTTCAATACCTCTGTTGCCCCAATGCTAAATCCTTTATTTACACCCTGAGAAATCAGCAGGTAAAACAATCCTTTAAGATCTTAATTAAGAAATGTTTTTCAATTTAGTTTCAACATACTTTATATATAATCAGAAATACGATAAATTATGATATAATGGTGTATTAAGAATTGTAATGAAAAATAAATAAATAAATAAATAAATAAATGTTTTTAAAAAAAGAAATGTTTTTTTCAAATAAAATTTAAAGGTAAAGAAATCCATTGCCTGAATATAAATAGAACCTCATATCTAATGCAGTATTTTTTAAAACTTTTATCTAGATTTGGTATCAGGGTGATATTAGCTTCACTTTTATTTTATATTTTACTAATTTGGGGTCTGATTTAATTATTTCCTCTTTTCTATTGGTTTTGAATTAGTATTTTTTATTTTAATTTCTCATATTTAATTTAATTTAATATTATTATTAATATTTAATTTAATTTAATTTCTCATTCCTCATCCAAATTGTATTATTCAATCTCCACACCTTAAAATGGTTTGTTTTTTATTTTGTTATCAATTTAAGATTTCACTTATTATGATAGGATAAGGTAAAAGGTATTACCTCTACTTTTTTGTATTTTATAAGACTTGATTTGTGACCCAAAATATGTTCTATTTTGGACAAGTTTCCACATACAGCTGAGAAAATGTGAATTCATTTGTAGGGGGATGAAATAGTCTATAGATGTCTATTAGATCCATTTTTAATAGTGTTGTTAATAGGTTTTTGTCTGAATAACCTATATATTAATTTGAGAGAAACAGTGACATTACCTAATATTATTGTATTTAGTATATCTGAGACTTTAAGTATTATTTCTTTTATGTAATTAGGTATTGGGCAGAAGTATTTACAATTGTTATATGCTTCTTGTTGGATAGTTTTCTTAACCAATATAAAGTGACCTTTCTTGTCTCTTCTAACTTTGTCTTGATGTCTGATTTTACAGCTATGATGGTAGTTACTCCTGCTTGCTTTCATTTTCCATTTCATGGCATATCTTTTTCTACTCCTCCAATTTCAACCTATGGCTACCTTTTCCTGTGATGTGAATTTATTATGGACACCTGATAATTGAGACTTGTTTTAATCCAATCTGCCAGTCTTTCTTTTAATTGAAGAGTTAAGACCATTAACATTCAATGTTTTAATAAAAATTATCATCATTTCCTGCCATTTTTAATTATTTATGAAAAAGTTAAACACTTTATAAAATTGCATGTCATACTTTCACAAGGGCTATACTAAACTTCTCTGTGTCATTGAATTTTAGTAAATGTGGTGTGGAATGTACATCCTCCCATCTTTCTTTTATGACATATTGTTCTAAATAACTATTTTCAATTTTTTTTTACCTATAGATAACAACCATATATATATATATGTGTGTGTGTGTGTGTGTGTGTGTGTGTGTGTGTGTGTGTGTGTCTACATATATATGACTATTTCATATATATATATATTATATATGTTATAATATATAGAGACAACAAAGATTTTATTAAAACATCAAATTGGTCATTGCTAATTTAATGCAACATATATAATACCAACACAAAATTATAATTCTAGTATTATTTTGTCTATGAATTTCATATTGTAGCAAATGCTTCATAAATAAATGAAATAAGACATTTTATAAGATTATAATATTCGAGCAAAAACAGAAAAGAGAAAATGAGAAATGTGAACAAAGCTTGTAAAATGTTAAATTAAATGATAAATGATAACCTTATACTATCATACATAAATAATATATATATATATATACATACATACATACATAGAGGGTAGTTGTAGACATTAAAAATAAATGAAGCAAAATTTTATAATCTTATTCAAAATTTATCTGAAAATGATTATTCTAAAAGTCAAAAAAAGGAAATAATTGGAAATCAATCTAAACCTTTCCAAAGTGAAATTATAAGAAAACACATTTATATATAAATGCTGCTATATTGAAAACCAGAAATTGGGTTGCTCTAGACATCAGAATTTAATGTATCTCTTTGTAGTTTCTTTAGTTTATCCTAACTGAAGTTTATTGAACCTCTTGAATATGCAAATCCACGTCTTTTGTCAAATTGGGGAAATTTAACCATTATTACTCCAAATATTTTGTTATCCTTTCATTTCATCCTCTGGCTTCCCAAAATGTATATTTATACACTATAAGTACTATAGACTCAGATACTTTTAATCTTTTTTTTCTGTATCTCCTCTAACTATATAATATCATTTTTCCAATATTCAGGATTTTTCCTGCTTTCTCTTGGGCACTACTCTTGGGCACTAAAATCTGCTGGTGAGGTCCTTTAAAATTCTTTACTTTAGGGCTGAGATTGTGGCTCAGCGGTAGAGTGCTCACCTTGCACATGTGGAACCCTGGGTTCAATCCTCAACACCATATAAAAATAAAATAAAGATATGTGTCCACCTAAAACTAAAAAGTAAATATTAAAAATAAATAAATAATAAAATGAAGGCATTGTGTCCAACTACAACTAAAAAATAAATATTTTTAAAAATTCTTTATTTTAGCTATTATGCTTTGCAAATTTAAATTTCTCCTTAACTTGCTGTCATATTCTTTGTCACTTTGTTGATATTTTTTATTTATTCAACATTCTTGTGGTTTTTTTATTTGTCCATAGTTACATTCAGCTCTTTAATAACAATGGATATGAAATCACCATCTAGTATGTCCAATGTCTGCACCTTCTGAGGATCTTTTCCTGACAATTTCTTTCTTGTATCTTCCTACTGCCAAACCCCAGTGACTAGTCCATACTTTCTTATTTTTGTGCAAGTCTTGTCACTCTTTTTATTAATTTTTAATTTTTTAAACTGGACATTTTGAATAATATAATGTGGCTAATCTGGGAATCAAATTCTTTTTTCTTGCCAATTCTACAGCTGTTGTTTGTTGAGGACTGTAGTCATACTGATTTAGAGACTTTACTAAAGTAATTTTTTTATGAGACTTTTTCCATTATTGTGCATAATCACAATGGTCTCTATTTTCCTATGTCAGTACTCAGACAGTGACTCATAAGAATGTTTTTAAACATCTGAAGCAAAAAAAAAAAAAATTCATAGAACTCTTCTGGTCTTGTGACCTGAGTCAAAGATGGGGGACTCCTTAATGCTAAGTCAGGCTTCTTTCAATTCTGCCTTAACCTTCAACTACTGCTTTCATGGAGCTCACACAGTTGTCAGCTTTTCCAATGAATTCCTGACCCTAGGAAGGTGTATTTCACTCTGGTTCCATGATTTATGAGATGGCCCTTGGGATCTATTTTTGCCCAAGAAAATTGTATAAACTTGAATCAACATATGTCAGAGAAGAGCTAAAAGGGTTAATTTATCATCATGGCACAAGAAGAAAGATTTCACTGAATTTCCCCCCAAAATAACATTTTTGTTTGATTTTTTTCTGTGAATGTAGAACAAAAAATCACTTTTTAAAAATTGACTTAAGGCTAAACACTATTTTCCAATGACAGATGTAGGATTTTTATTTTATGGTCACTAACTTTTCAAAATTTCTATTTGTTTTGACAACTTGTTTCATCTTTCTCAAGCACAATAAAGCCAAACTGTTATCATCATTACCGTTTTTATAACTATTATTTTAAAAAACTGCATTTCGTGTATTAACTAATTAACCAAAAACATATGAGAGAGAATTATTAAAACTGAGGTTAAAACATACTTTTATAGTAACTGGACACAAATTAATCCTATCCTTCCCTAACACATTCTGATATAAGCTTTCACTTCTGATGGACAGCTGTTTTACCATTTCCTGTTGAATATGTCTAGTGATGAACTTTATGCAGAATAAGAGCACCAAAAATGTATTTGGTGCTCTTATGTATGTATTATAAATTGACATTAATGTTTCTTTTTACCTGTAGATGTATCAGAATTCTGAGCATGGCCATGCCAAATAAAATATCAATTGGAAAATTTATTCTTCTGGACTTACAAATGACTCAAGAGTTATGAGTTATAAAATTCTCTTTTATCATAATGCACAATACCTGCTATATTACCTATCCCAAGAAAGCTGATTATCCTGCTAATAAATAGAATTCTTGGAGAGGGGGCAAAATTTAGGTGCCCATCAGATAGCTGCATTTAGCTGGCCTTAGAGATGTGTTGATATTATCTCTTCAAAATAGGTATCACCCAACAAATTTTCAAAGTTGCAATCAGAGCTAGACCCCAACCATAGGAACTTCCCATTTAGAACTCTGTATCAACCCTACCCTGGGAGTACATGGATCTAGTCTTTCTAGAAAAAAAAAGTTTCAATAGATGCTACTTCCCATTCTATCTTACCTTTCACTGGTGAGCAGGGAAGCTAAAAGCCATTTCAACCAGCTTTGGTCCCAGACCACTTCAACCTTTGGTCCCAGGACACAAAACGAAGAAATGTTAAGTAACCCCCAGCTCTTGTCATCTCCAAAGGGTGCACAATCCAATAAAACATTGAAAAAAAAAAAGAGCAGCATGGCATATATAATGAATATATCTTTGTGTCTATAATTTTGGCCACCTCAGGGTACACAGTTCTTTCACTTTTTATTAAGAATTTTTTATTTTTTAGTTATTATCATTGCATTTGCAGATTGGGTTTATGAAAATGTAAAAACATACATTTTCATTTCTTTTTTAGTTTCATCTTTTTCTTTTTGTTATCCTTTTGCTATTTTGTTTTGTTCCCTGTTGGCTGGTGAGTTTTCTGTTTTTCTTTTTCTTTTACTTTGGTTTGGTTTAGTTTGTTCTTTGTCTCCAATAGTCAAAATCTCTTTTCTCTCTCTCTCTCTCTCTCTCTCTCTCTCTCTCTCTCTCTCTCTCTCTCTCTCTCTTCTCTCTCTCTCTCTCACTGTCTGAATTATACACAAATATACTTTTTATTGCTATTTTACTTTTTCTTCTTCTCTATACTTTCAGGTAGGTGCTCCCTTTCTTGCTTTTTCTCATTTCAACTTTTCCATATTCTAATCTCTACCCCCATTTTCTTTTCTCTTAACTAATTGTATTTTTACCATCTCTTCAAACTATTTAGTTTATTAAATTTCTGACTCACTATTCATGTAGTTTTTGTTATTTATATTGTGGAGGTTGCTGAAAACTTGTTTACATTAGTGCTCTATTTAGTTCCAAAATATTTGTTGTTCTGCCTGCTATTAATTTCTGAACCTGCCATTCCTGTTTTTGTGATTATTAGTATAGGTCATAATAGGCAAGCAGTATTTGCTCTAATGCTATATATTGTTCATATATATTGTTCATTGCAATTGTTTATCTCCCTCTTTTATATGGGACTGGGGATGTGGTTTGATGATAAGTTTACATGGTACACACTCTGCTGAGGAGGTGCACTTCAACCCAGTCCAGATACAGTGCCTCTTGCTATACACACAACACAACCATGTTCAAACTTCAGCAATACTTCAATACAAAGAATAAAGGTAACAAAACCCCCAAACCAATGGCAAGACCTCAGTAAGAATGGCTAAAGGGAGACATAGGTTCAACTCACGGAATTGTGTTCCTATCAACAACAAGAAATTACAGAAAGATTTTGGAATACATGGTATTTTTCTCTTGAAGTCTCAAGAGAAAAATACCATGTAACATTTACAGGCAACTCATACCTAGCAGGAGTTTCTATCTAACCCTTTTAGAGAATATAGACTTTTGCAGTCTAAAATTCCACAACAGAAGGTATATCCCATGTACATTGATTATATAGAATACAACTGCCAGCCATAATAGAGGAACCCCACTCTTGAGAGATTTAAAAAGTGGAATCCTCAAGCTGTGAAATAATACATATTAATAAACACCAAAAAAACTATCAGGGATACTAAACTATGTATATACTGGAAATATATTCACTATTCATAGCATAATAACCCAAGGTACTTTTCCAGGAGAAAGATGTGCCCTAAAAATGCTCTCACATAAAAATGAGAAAGAAAAAACATCCTAACAAATGCACAAGTCTTCAGAACCACAAAAAGAATGAAAAAACAAGGTAATTGATATTTTCTAAAGTTCATACTTTCTTAGTAAGTAACTCCAAACATACTGATGATATACCATATAAATAAATCAAAAGAATGATTATTTAAAAAGCCAATGAATTTCAAGAGAACTGAAAAACAACTGAGGAAATTAGTGAAGTCAATACAGGATATAATGAGAATTCAATAAAGAGATAAACACTTCAGAAATAATCAAACTAAAATCTTGAAAATAAAAGGCAGAAAAAATCAATTAAATATTCTGGTGAAGCTTTTTCAATAGAGTGGATCAAGTAGAAGACAGAATCTTAGAACTAGAAGACAATATGGCATAAAATATTCAGACTTTATTAAGAAAATAAGCAACCATGAACAGAATATACAAGAGTTCACAGAAATCATTAACAGATCAAATTTAAGAACTATTGGAATCAAACAGGGATCTGAGATACAGGATCAGGTTATGGATAAACTATTTGGTTAATACATTTTTTTTTAAACTTTGGAATGAGATAGATGTCTAGATGAAAGATAAATTCAGAACCCCGGATACAGAAGGTCAAAATAATTTTTCCATGACACTTTGTCTTATAAAAATGTTTAACATGTAAAAAAAGAATTTTTGAAGTCTCAAGAGAAAAATACCATGTAACATTTACAGGCAACTCATTCAGAATTTTATTTCTCCCTCCCTCATCAATGAGGGGTTGAACTATGTGTTCCAAAACATAAAAGTTATTAAATAAAATAAGTACAAACAAGTAAACTAAATAAGATAACTATAAACCAAGATTCTCATATTGAGCAAAGATATACTTCAAAATCAAAAGAAACATTTTTCATTTCTTGAAAACCTTCCAAAATAAGCATAAACTAAAAGATTACATAAATATTAAGGTAGCAATACAGAAATATTTTAAAAATACACATAAAAGAAGTTAAAAACAAACTCCAGAGCTCAAGAATATATGAATCTTCTTAGAAGAATAGCTAAGCAATAGCTAAGGAATTTATAGACTTCTCTCTGTAATAACACTAAATATAAATTATCTCAACTCTCCAATTAAAATTTATAGATTGGCATAATTGATTAAAAAACAAGATCTAAATATATGTTTTTTTCAAAAGATTCATCTTGCAGGCAAAAATAGCCACAGACTGAAGGTGAAAAGAATACCAAGTGTTCCCAAAGGCTCGTGTGTGAGACACTGAAGAAGGTTTTAGACGTGAAAAGATTGGGTTATGAGAGCCTTAACCCAATCAGTTTATTAATACCCTGATAAATGTTAACTTGGTGGTAAGGGTAGGCAGGTATGGGGAAGACAGAGGAAGTAGTACCTGGGTTATAACTTTTGATCTTCTTGAGTGAATCTCTCTCTCTCTCTCTCTCTCTCTCTCTCTCTCTCTCTCTCTCCTTACTGGTATGCTATCCTGAGCCACTTCTCCACCACACTCTTTTGTCCTTGTGCAGCAAGGAATGGAACTAGCTGTCTGTGGCCTCTGAAAACATGAGCCCCCAAATAAACTTTTCTTCTTAAAATTCTTTTTCAGGTCTTTTGGTCACAGCAGAGGAAAATCTGTCTAAAACAGAAAGAAACATTCCATGCAAATGAATAAAAAAATAAAACAGACATCAAACCCCCAATTAATCATAAGAGACAAAGATGGTCACTTTATAAAATGAAAAAATCCAACAAAAAGATATAACGATAGTAAATATTTATGATCAAAACATTTGTGTACCTAATTACATAAACAAACATGATTTGTTTAATAACAAGTGTAATAGCTCAGATAAAAGCCAATACAATAATACTGAGAGATTTTTAATGCCCCTTTCCTACTAATAAATAGGTCAACCAATCATAAAATCAATAACAAATTATTTGCTCCTGTCAATATTATTAATTAAATTAAAGTAATAGACATCTGCAGAGTACTTCATCCAACAGCACACACATTTACTTTATTCTCAGCTGTTCAGAAAAGCTTCTACAAAATAAATCATATTTTACACCACACAGCAAGTCTTAGAAAGTACAAAAAAGAAATCAATACAATTCCTTGCATTTTACCAGATAATAGTGGAATGAAATTATAAAAAAACAAGAAAAATGACAGAAAGTATATAAAAATGAGGAAATGAGGTGATAAATTTAAAAAGCTTAAGAATAAAAAGAGAACACATGCATGACATATCAAAATATCTGGGACACTATATAAAGGTGGTTCTACAAGGAAAGCTCAGTTGCAATGACTACCTATATAAAATATATAAGAAAGATCCCAAATAAAGAAAAGAATAAATAAATCAATAACCTAATGTTGCATATCAAGGTCTTAGAAAATCAAGGGAAAAAATTTCAAGAAAAGTAGAATAAGGAAAATAATCAGTATCAAAGCTGAAATTATTAAAATAGAGAATAAAATTAAATGCAAAAAATCAGTAAAATGAAGATTTGGTTCTTTAAAAGACAAAGAAGATTGATAAACCCTTAAACAAACTAATAACCCACATTAATAAAAGTAGAGATGTAAAAGGATATACCACCATAGACATTATGGAAATTGAGAGACTAACTAGGGTCTGTATTGTAAATGTGTACTTCAATAAATCAGAAAACTGAAAGAAATGGATAAATTTCTATATGAATATGAATTACCAAGAAGATATAAACCAAAAAGGTATAAAAAACTAAAAAAGAACAAGTTCTGTGATTGAAGAAGAAATTAAAAAGCCTTCAACAAAGAAAAGCCTATAACCAAATAGAGTCTCTGGTGAATTCTATCAAGCTTTTAAAGAATAATTAATGCCATTCCTCCTAAAATTGTTTCATGAAATAGAAAGAAGGATGGAACACTTCAAAATTAATTTTAGTTATCATCCTTGTACATAAGCTAGATCAGGACACCTCAAGGAAAGAAAACTACACAGATGTCAAATAGAACACTAATCTCCAGGATATAAAGAACTCCAAAAACTTAATACATACACACACACAAAACAAACAAACAAAAAAAAAACCACACACACAAAAAACAAGCAACCCAATCAATAAGTGGGCTAAAGAGTTGAACAGACATTTCTCAGAAGATACAATCAATCAACAAATATATGAAAAAAATGTTCAATATTTGTAGTAATTAAAGAAATGCAAATCAAAACTTCAAAACTACTCTAATATTTCTTCTCACTCCAGTCAGAATGGCAGTTAACAGAAATACAGACAACAATAAATGTTGGAGAGGATGTGGAGGAAAAGCACACCTCTAGAGGATTTTGCTTTTTTTGTGTGGCATAACATGCTTTTTGTATTTTTTAATCTGATTTTCCTTCCAATCTTCAGAGTAATGCATGCAACACATGAAAGTGAAAATCAGAAGATATCAGAGTATTTTTCCTGGGCTTCAAGCTTCCCCAAATACACAGTTAACATTTTGCTGAATAATCTGTTTTCTCCTGGGACATAGGTCTCATGATTAACCAATTAAGATATGATTGCCCAAATTTATCATGTACACAGATTCATTAGAGCCCCATTATTTACCCACAAGATGATTAAGAATTTATTTGCTTCAAATTTTTTTTCTGAAATTAAGTGAAACAAAATACATTTAAGGTACTATTTTTACTTTATTCCTAGGGAAATTTTATGGATTTGGCCTTCTGAGAAATATCAAAATGGTTTATAAAAAATAACTCTAGAATTTTTTTTCATTTATAACAGCAGAACTTTCATCTTAAGTTATGATATTAAGATGATGCTTGGAGTTTATCAGGGCTCCAGATGTTAAATGATGTTGAGGAAAGATAAAAAGTAAATATTTTCCTGGGTGTTTTGAGATGAAATATAAAGGACTTTGCGAGAGAATTTGCAGTTCCATAGGAGGAGAAGCAAAACATGTATTTCTCCATGCAGCATTGAACAATTGCATGACTTTTAAACAAATTGAGAATACCATTTTGAACTCAACACTTACTTTTAACCATCAATATTTGCTAATAGGCAAGTAATTTCAACTTATTTTATATTATATTTCAACTTCTATTCATTCTATCCTATTGGTCACTATGGTGCATTTTTGTATCTCTCTCAGATCTATCTTTCTATCTATCTATCTTTCTATTTATCTATCTATCTATAATATTTGCACATATATTTAGTAGTTAACTTGATAACTAACTGATATATAAAAACATATTTAGTGATAATGTTTAGCAACTAACTGAAATATGTAAAACATAGCACACCTTCTTTAATATTTGTGCATTTATAATTTTTTGTCAAAATACTAATAAAGGCAGTAGTCACTAATTCTCAAGAATTACGTTTAGAGCTTTTCCTAGAAAGTTGACTTGATCAAGAATTCCATGATCAAATAAGAATTTTTGTTCCTGGAGAAGATGATGTAAGAAAGGCACAGTACCCCATATATATTAGGTAAATAATTAAGGTAAATAATGAAGGTAAATAATGAAGCATTTGAAGACTATGTGTATAATAAGTTCATTTTTCAATAATTAATGCAGTAGAGACAGAATAAAATAGAGCAGAGTGATATTAAAATTAAAGATACATTATTGGACTATAAAAGTGAGAAATATACACACACAATCACAACAACAAAAGTCCCCAGTGCTTCATATCAAAATACTATATCACTTTAAAAACTATATGCAGATGTCATGCTTCTCTTCTGATCAATATTTTATTGTTTTCCAGGTCAATGTTAACAGTAAAATCTGCCTCAAACCAACCATAGGAAATGAAAAATAGAACATCAGTAACAGACTTCATCCTCCTGGGTCTAACAGATGATCCAGAGCTCCAGGTTGTGATTTTCTTCTTTATATTTCTCACCTATGTGCTGAGTGTTACTGGAAATCTAACTATCATCACCCTTACCCTGCTGGATTCCCACCTGAAGACCCCCATGTATTTCTTCCTCAGGAATTTCTCCTTCCTAGAAATTTCATTTACTTCTGTCTGTAACCCTAGGTTTTTGATCAGCATCCTAACTGGGGACAAGTCGATTTCCTACAATGCTTGTGCTGCTCAACTCTTTTTCTTTATCTTCCTTGGATCAACAGAGTTTTTCCTCCTGGCCTCTATGTCCTATGATCGCTATGTGGCTATCTGCAAGCCTCTGCATTACACTACCATCATGAGTAACAAGATTTGTTACCAGCTCATCATCATCTCTTGGCTGGCTGGTTTCTTGGTCATTTTTCCATCACTGACCATGGGCTTGCAGTTAGATTTCTGTGATTCCAATGTCATTGACCACTTCACCTGTGACTCTGCTCCTTTGCTGCAAATCTCTTGCACAGATACCAGTACTCTAGAGCTCTTGAGTTTTGTTTTAGCTTTGTTCACTCTCCTGACCACATTGGCACTAATAATTCTCTCCTACGCTTACATCCTCAGAATAATTCTAAGAATTCCCTCATCTCAACAAAGAACAAAGGCCTTCTCAACCTGTTCCTCACACATGATTGTTGTCTCCATCTCATATGGAAGCTGCATCTTCATATATGTGAAAACATCAGCAAAGGAAGGTGTTGCTTTAACAAAAGGGGTGGCTATTCTCTACACCTCTGTTGCTCCTATGCTGAATCCATTTATTTACACTCTAAGGAACCAGCAGGTGAAACAAGCAATTAAAGACATTGTGAGGAAGATATTTGCCTCAAAATCATCAATCTGAACATGATTAATAACTGAAGCAGGTGCATAATTTGGACTTCAAAGTCAAAACATTGCTATTTAATTATTCTCTGCCTTCTTATCTCTTCTCAGGAAAGCAACTTTTTATGCCAATTGGTATTAATTTAACATACTCTGTATCAAATACTTTGTGAATTCATACACATTATTATTATGGAATGATTTGAACATTTTCATATAATACAATTCAAAGACAGAACTAAAGTCATTTTATATATTAATTTATATATTTCATGTATATACATGTAAATGATTAATCACTGCACATATTTCTGAACAGAAGAAGAAATTGAGTTTCTTTAGCTATAATTCATATGTGTGTTTATATAAATATATGTATAAGCATGTATGTTCTTAAAAATTTATGTACATGTACGTGTGTCTGTTTTTGTATATGTATACCTTCTTTTTGCTTTTTTTCTCTTTTAGTAGTGCTAGAGATCTAGAACACCCTGCTTTAAATGGTTCTTGTGGTGGTTTTATTTAATAATATAAAGAGAAAATTTAGACATACAGGTTACAGGAAGAATTGTTTTATAAACAAAGAGTACAGGTTAAACAAGATGAAAAAAAGAGGATTACTTTTGTACTAAACATTTGACATTTAATTCACAACTTACTTGAAATCTTATGATTTAAATATTGAGTGATATTTGTGATCATGATAGAAAAATAAGTAATAGATACAACCATTTTTGAGGGCTTTTGCCTCTAAATAAATTCATTATATTGTTATTTAAATTATTTTACTTACTATTTATGCTGGCTTTTGCAAGAAAAATTAATATAATTATGACATCATGCTGAGTGTGATAGTGCCTGCCTATCTAGAGGCAGTAGTTCACAAGTTCAAAGCCAGCCTCAGCAATTTAGCATGGTCCTAAGCTACTTAGAGAGAACCTGTCTCAAACTTAAAAAGGCCTGGGAATTTGACTCAGTGAGTCAGCAATCCTGGGTTAAATCCCTGTGCAAAAAAAAAAAGAAAAGAAAAGAAAAAAGAAAAAAATACAATTTTATGAAAGTAGAAATTTTTTAATTAGAGTTATTACTTAAGGAAAAATAGGATTAAGAAGTCACGTTTTTATAAAATGTTTCTACCAAAAAAAGAAAAATAAAAGGCCACATTGAGCTTGGGAATGACAATCTCTGGAAAATTTTACCTAAGTTAGGCCATGATTTAGAAATCTATATCCATGTGGTATGCTAGCTTATATTTTGTATTTTATCAGTTCTTCCACTCTAATTTTGGTAAGCTTTGATCATCGAATTATGTGAGATAATGTTGTTTTCCAAATAAGCACTAAAAGTAAAAATTGATTAAGAAAAAAGGTTTAGGAGATTAAATGTATAAGAAAGACTTGCAAGAACTTGGAAAATTCTGTTTAGCTCAGGAGTTAAAAGAAAGTAATTCATTATGCCACGTATTATTTCTAATAATTTATTTTCTTCCTGCTTTTATCATAAGTTCATTTGTTCATATTTTGTTTGCTTCTTCTATTAAGCAGATAGTTATCTGTCACATAATAAGTAGCAGAAAACACTGCAGACCTAAATTCACTATTTAAAAAAAAATAGCTCATTACATTTTATTTTTAAATTTATTTTAGCAGCTTTATTGACATATGGTTTATGTAACAATAGCTGCGCATATATAAGGCACAAAATATGATTTGTTTTGACATTTATACATCCTTAAAATCGTCACAACATTGAAGACATTCAAAGTAATATATATGACCTCCAAAAATTTGTTCCTGTCTCTACCTTTTTATATTTTTTAATTTGGGAAGAACACTTAACAACAACACCTACCCTCTTCACAAAATATTTGTGCAAAATACAGTATTGTTAACCATAGACCCATTGTTATATCGTAGATACCTAAAACTTATCCATCCTATATAATTGAAATTTTATATTCATGGAATAGCAACTGCCCATTTCCCCAACTCCACACACCTGAAAGCTTGCATTACTTTCTGCTTCTGAGTTTGCCTCTTTTCAGTCCTTCAAAAATGTGAGCCTTGTTTTTTTGTCTTTCTATGATTGGCTTTTTTCTTATTACAATGTCTTCCAAGTTCATATGTGTTTTTGCATATGGCAAAATTTCATTATTATTTAGGGCTGAATAATTAATGTATGTAAATAACATATTTTCTTTGTCCACTGGTCTATAGATGGATATTTAAAGAATTGTTTTCATATCATGGATATTGTAAATAATGATGTAATATGTACAAGTATTCAAAAATTTCCAGATGACCCTGGTTTCGATTCTTTTGGATTCATACCTAAAAATTGGATTTTTTTCTCACA